TTTTCGTTACAAGCTTCCGATCGACTCAGTTCACCTCAGCTTCTTCTCTATTTTGAATTCGAGCCGGGCAAGGATGACTCGAACACTAGAACACAACCTTGCTTCGCTCTTCGAGGGCTGGGAGACACTGCCCAAGTTATTTTTTCTGCGCTCCCCCCGACGTCAGGTTTCACATGTTTGAAGAAAGATTCTGCCTGTCCCCTGTCTCTTTGCTTTTTGCCGCTTGCGAAAAGAAAAGCGAGGAATACTTCGCAAGAATACTCCCGTGTCGAGGTCTCGGGTCGTGCGGCCCACAGAACATCGTGTCTTGCAACGACGACACGGGGACGCCGACAAACTCGGTCCAAGGACATTAACGTAGTTGCGGTCTTCTTTGTTTTTGGTGGAATAGAAACTTATCGTATAGCAGGCAAGTACTGAGATTGACTAAAGAGGTAGAAGCTGACGAAAGGAAATACCAGAAACGAAGTGAAATTAGTAATATTGCAGCATCTATCCTCTAGAAGTAAAGGGTTGTTTAGCCAAAGTACAAAACAACATGCGCCTCAGGTAGAGAAACCTTTGTCTTCCTCATCACCGGAGCAACGGATACGGGCTGCACGTATTATTGTGGATGTGAATTTAGCTGGAAATTAGTCACTCCATGCATCAATTGCAGACGAGTGAAAATAGATTTTTCTACGGGGTTCTCATGGGCGCTGCCTACGTCGTGGTGAAACTCAACGCAGGAAATTCATGAAGTCGAGAGTTGCTCCTCCGGGCAGCAGCACGTCTTAAAGTTACACAACCGTGAACTTTTTTTCTTTTTTTCCTTTTTTGTTTTACAAACGTAATTATGTCACAGAATATGAAACACCCAGGACTAGCTCTTCGAAAGCACCAGTAAGAGTGCAAACTGTCGCCGTCAGTCAATGCAATTTGAAAACGAACGTTTTTTCGATGAGCGGCGAATGGTCGGCTTTGTGCGCGTTGGCCTTTCCTGTGGCGGCCATGAGTCGAACAGGGCAGCTCAGTATGGACACAGGGTTGTGGCTCTGGTACGCATAGTGAAATGTGAAAACGTATTGTAGCTGCATAAATGGCTAGCGTAGCTCGAAATGTTGACCTTCCAGATTATTTTGGTTACATTTTTAACGCCTCGCTCTGGCAGTACGAATCGTAGTAACGGGTTTTCCCATTCGAGCTACTTTAAAAGTTCTATCAGCCTTTACATTATACCGCTTGCTCGATTAATTAGCTACCCACTAAATGGTCTAAAATCTACATTTAAACACTATTAATCAGTACGCATCCTTGCCTATTATACCTCTTCTCACGTTGAGCGGGATCATTAGGGGAATATTGCGTATTAAGCTGACTTGTTTCCCTGTAGCCCACGCATTTTTATATTCCGGTCTTCGCGTCTTCAAAGGGCAGTGGACTGCAGAAAACAATTCTGTTCGTTTTGAATTCGTTTCGCCGGCTTGGTTGGTGTTGCAGTCCATGCCGCTTTTCTAGAATTCTAAAAAGTAAAGTATCTTTGATGTGACAGTTCCATTCATTTATTTTGTTTACTTCTTCCTTATTTGTACCCGTTGCATTCCTTTATAGGTTCGTGCATATATAAATAAGAAGTGCCTGAAGTGCTGCTAATGAAACGCTCACGGACACAACACTAAGACGAACAAACAAGACTGTTTAGTTTAATGAATTAACATTTGAACACCAAGTTGCAGAGGGTCTAGGTTGAAGATAACTTTCATAAGTATGGTCTCAACTGTAAACTTAAGCACCGTGGAAATATTATCAGCAATTAATTTTTCGCTCAAACCCGACTCGTTCGATGCCCACATTATAAAAACGAAACTGTCGGCAAGTAGTATAAAACACAGTCTCAAATTCATGATAGGCCTCTGCAGCAGTTGAAGTTGGAGTCTCGGAGCTGCACATGCTAATGGGTCGCGCTGCTCCATCCCAATTCGTTTTTGTGGTTCTGAATGAAAGTTAAAGGAGTCATGAAACGATTTTTCTACTTTCGCTAAATACTACTTCGTCCCGAGTTTAAATATGTTTTAGTAGTACTCGATACTCTGTTATTGTCTCCCTATCGTTTAGAACTTAATAAACTTGCCTTAGATTTCCCTCCTAGGCAAAAGGAAGTTGCCATGAAAAAAAAAATCGAGAAATATGAGTATCATTCATCCCCTCAACTGGGAGCCAGAACAGGCGGCCACGTGGCCTGGTGCCTATCCTATGCCGTCAGCGTTAATCATACACACGCGCTGGGGTTGGCAAAGTAGAGAGCGCGTGCTGAGCTCGAGGCATTGTTAAAGTTCGACTCTTCTCATCACGGCAGTGGTTGGTCTCGAGCCACTACCCGAGTGACCGCCGAGGCATTGACTGTTACAAGCCGAAGTCGAGGGCTCACGCAGTTTTCGTGTCCAATGGATGAGCCGCGCTCGGCTGTCGTCAGGCGGGTGGTTTCAGTCAACACCGCCTAGAAGGCGAGGCCGTAGTGCTGACATTTTTGCGTCATCACCGAAGGCCAAGGTTGGACACCGATTGGAAACGAGGGCTGCGTCAGCGCACGGCTTCGCTGGTCACGTCTAATCTTTGACCAGCATTGGCCTTCGCTGATGACGACATCTCAATCAGCACTACGGCTTTGTTATCTAGGAGGTCTTGTTTCGATCTCCTAATTACGTCATCAAACTTTCCAAAGGCAAGACCAAAAAATGAAAGTCGTTTACAACTCCCTGTAACGCCGAATTAGAGCGCAGCTCTTGAGGAGGAGGAGGGAAGGGTACTGAGGGAAAGGTATGCCCCTCCTTCCTCCTCCTCATCCTCCCTGGTACTCCTCCTCCCTCCTCTTCCTCCTCGTCCTTCTCCTCCCCTCCTCCACCTCCTCCTCCCCTCACCCCTCAAGCTGCTCCCCTCCCTCCTCCGCCTCCCTCCTATCCTCCTCATCGCTCCTCATCCCGTCCTCCACTTCCCCTCCTCCTCCTCCTCCCCCTTCCCTCCGTCTCCTCCCCTCCCCCCTCGTCCTCCTCCCCGCGCAGTGCATTATGGGACATTTCCTACAATGCACCGCGCAATTACGCCGACGACGACGGCGACGCCGCTCAAGCCGGAAACAAGCGCCTAAGAGCTAAGCAATAAAACAAAAATGGTCCCCTTTAAAAAATAAAAGAAAAAAATTGACTTGCTCTGTATGTTTATACAGCCTTGGGGCGAACGCTTTTGCCGGTACGAAACTCATCCAGATCGAAACGGGCGGGGGCGGCGGGGATCGAATCCAGGAGGTTCCCAGGGCAAGCATTCGCTCCACGCTCCGAGCTGAGACGCGTTAGCCCACTCGGCCACTTCCTCCCCTGGTCCCCTCTTATTCTTGCTGTTTCACCGCGATAAAGAAGCTTCTGAATCAGTGGCGGTCTGTGCGAGTCTACTTGGGCCAGACAACTCAAGAAGGTAGGGCGAGAGAAAAAATGGCGGGAGAAGAGGAAATGGACGCAACGCTGGCGAAGGGAGGAGGAAACTCCCTCCCCTCGCCAGCGTTGCGTCTGCTTCCTCCTCCCCCACCTTCCTCTCCACTGCCCTACGCTCTTAACCTGCAATACAGTACAGGATCAAACGCCTCTGCAAAGTGATGAACATTGCAACCCGATATCGTTGTACGACCCCCTTAATGTCGAAAGCCTGCATGAGCGACGTGCTGCGAGCTTTGTCAATGAATAAACTGGGGTAATCAAACTACCGAAGAGAGAGTAACCGGTCCCGAGTTTCAATATGTTTTTGTAGGCCTTCATATTGGTGTTTTTGTTTCCGTGGAATGGCGCGTGGACGCACGTCAGCTGTGTAGGGGATTTCTTCTGAGGAATTCCGCTGACTAGTCCAGTCGCGCAACCGGCGCTGCGCACGTTGCGCGGAAAACGTAGTCAGTTAGTTTCGTAACTGGTTCCGTCTTTCCCGTAACGGGTAAGGATTTTGAAAGAGAGCTTTTTTTTTTTTCTTATTCCTCATCTTTTTCACAGTGGTATCTAAAACTGTCACTGTGGCATTCCAGCTGCATTACGTCGACGCGCCTGTGTCGGGGAAATCTTTCCTGCGTTTGCAGCCATTCAGTTAAGGTGAATACAACATCGGCGTTTGCTTCGTTTCGCATTTTGACGAGGTAGTGCACTAACGGGCATTAAAGTTAACCGCTTAAGTCAGTGACCCAAAAAAGCCCTTCCCACTGCTCTAGTAGGTTTTGTGATAGCTCTTCTGTTTTAGAGACATACGTTAAACCCGAGTTGTTTATGGGTGCTATGCCCGTTTTGGTGGTGAACGAACGACAGAGAGGTTGACCCGAACCTTTCCTCCAGTCCTTTCGTTCGGGTCAGCATGAAGAAACATGTCGACGATGACTACAACGATAAAGTTATCACAATCGTCATCGTCATTATGAACATGATGAAGGCGGTAATAATCTAATCAGAACCTGCCATGATTTGGGCCTCCACCCGGGGAGGAAGATCAGAAATGTTCCTCCCATTCCGAAATGCGACTCGACGAGCTTAGGGCCTCTCTGCGCCGGGAAGGAAAGCAGGGCGTGATAACAATGGGACTCTCATTGGTCCATTTGGGTCCGAAGGGAGCTCCGTCAACCCCCTGGCCGAATCAGATTTATTGTATTTCTTCCATCGAGGGGCGCAGGTCGTCTTCTCCGCGAAGTCTCTGTGAATACCTTATATAGGCGGGTTAAGAAGAACGGGACGAGCCCGTCGCATAAGGCTTTCTGCTCACCACGATTGGTGGTTTCCTCCTCTCCACTCTACTCCAGCGTTCGATCTGCTAAAGTGGAAAGACTTAGTGGGAGGAGCCTCTATTGTTAACCTGCAGCAGACTAGAGACATCTACGTGAGCCACGAGGCGCATGCAGGCCGTTGATTGGCTTCCGGTCGGCCTCGGTGCCTTTTGACTGTGTCTGCTCGAGCCAGCCCTCGCCCAGGGTTCTGATCGGAGTCGGCGCTTGTCCGCAGTGGTGCGGAGGTCCCGGTGACCCAGGAGCGGCTGCGCGATGCTCACTCACACGGCGGGCTGGTTCGACGCCTTCCGGGAGAACGGCGGCCCGACGCTCTACATGAGCGACAACCGGACGTCGGTGAGCGCCGACCCTGCCGAAGTGCTCGTGTACCTGGCCTTCGTCACGCTGCTCGTGGCCTTCCTCGCCGTCGTGCCGGGCATCCGCAAGGAGCGCTGCACCACCGTCTTCTGCGTCTCGTCCAGCCTCCTGGTGGGAGCCGCCATCTTGATCGGCGTCCACGGCACCAGCTGGCACGTGGGCCGCGGCCAGACGGTCACCTACTACAGGTGAGGGCTCCCGTGGGGCGTCTGCTTGGTCGCCACTAACAGGCGATCGCCTGTTGGCTGTGATACCTTCCGTGGGCTAAAAGGCAATTATCGCCGATTTGTTCGGGAGTAATATTCGTGCGAGTATGCAGGTTTGATATTTACAGCGAAATGTCGATTATAGTGTCATCTTAAGAAACTTGCGATTACTTAGGAAACACTTTGTTGGTGTTACGTTCGTGTCCAGATGAACTGCGTGCAAAACAAGTCTAGGCCAACCAAAGTATACGTCAAAGATTGATTACCCAAGGGAAACTTTTTTTTATATATGATATATATATTTTTACGGGAATTGAGTTATGTTTTTAGCGCCGAGCCAACGTAGATGACACGATACTGCCGTCGTCGAAACTTCCGATAGCAGTGCAGAAAGAACTCGCTCAGGTTTTGCTCAATATATGTTCGAGAAGTAAACACCGGTCCTACAAAACAGCTTTCGTGGGATATAGCTTGCCCCTGTCACCTAGTTTACTCCCTCGAATTGACAGCACGCAAGAAAAAGAAAAAAAAAAAAAAAAGAGCGAACACGCGCGAAGTAAAATAAGAAAGAAAAGAAAAAGAGGGGAAAAAAGAGAAAGTCCTGTTCTCGAGAATCGTGTCTGCATGCACGTTCTGACTGCGTCGAACGACTGGCAAACACGGAATACGTAAAGTATGCGGGGCCCGTCATGGCGCAGACGCGGGAGCACGCCCCAAGGGGAAAATACGGTCGAAGGCAAGCTGCATAGACGATGGGCGACGCTGGCGTTGCTCGGCGGCCGAGCGCCGCGTTGCCGGCCTTGGACGGATCCTATTCCGGAATCCCTCGGCACCGGCAGCCCCCCGTGTGTGCCGCTGGAGGACAGCCTCGCGTCGCGCAATACCGTGAGGCGGCAACACTCGCTCGCCAGACGCTCGGGATTTCCCAGACACCGAAAACACGCCAGAGGAATTGCCGGAATGTCGCGGACAATACCGAAAACACAAGATGCGATTTCGTTGCCTTTTAATCAAATCGATAAAAAAAAAAAAAAAATATATATATATATATATATATATATATATATATATATATATATATATGTGTGTATATATAAAAGTAAGAAACAAGGCAATACGAGAAACTTGAGTCGTACTGAGAAGTTTGTGATATCAAAATGCATACTCACTACGAACGAAAGGGAAGAGGCTTACTACACACCGTTTTATTGCTCGCAAAATCTCAGTCCAGCCCGCGCTTATTCGTTGCTTCGGAAAGCGAACAATGCCCGCGCCATATGCGCGAACGCTGGAAATGGAACCGGCCAGAAATACTGGAATGGGTCTAAAGTAAATCATTATTCGGGAAGCTAATAGGTTCTGTAATGATCCATTCCGAAAATTTCGAAGTAGAACCGCGGTTGTGAACAAGCGAGAGCGCCTCACAAACTGGAACGTCAGAACTGTCTTAGAAATCTCTTTGGTGTCTTTTCTGGGTTCGTTTTGTTTTTGAGTGACCAAAGTGAATGGTATAAGGACTCACGGGCAGACTGTTTGATTTGACCAACATACCTCCAGAGTTGTACTGTCGAGAGGTAGATCCACAAGCAAAGTTGCTAACATCGTTATGCACTCTACTTGTCGCCTCGAATCAGGGTATAGTAGTATATTGAGGTTGCCGAAAATTGTGTGACTCCTACACAGGACAGGCAACGAAGCGAAATTGCGCCAGAGAGATCCAGTTCACTTTTACTCGCACGGAATAGACGAGCTAATCCTCTTTGCGGTTGCCATTCAACCGCCAGCGTAAAGGGAGCTTTGTACTGGCGTCCCAGACATAAACGGAGTACTGTGGCACCTCAGCGTGGGGACAGAAGAAAATGGCGATTCTCGTAGTCCCCTATTTTCATTTGGCCCGAAGCTGTTCAAGTGTGACGGGAGGGTGCGCCGACGACCCGATCGGCTTCTATCTGCCCCTGGCAGCCGGGACCCCGCCCGAGGAAACGGTTGACAGACTGAAGGATTACAAAGAACATAAATTGCATCTCTCGCCGAGTTTGTTGTACAATGTGTAATTGTTAGCGTGTGTACTTGGCTTAAATTGATTTATTCGTGGTCACATAACAACTGCAGGTTTACTGTTCAAGGAAAAAGAAGACGCACAAATTGGACGTAAAACGTTTCGCGGATTGTCCAGATTAAGTAGACTGTTAGTAGAACGTTGCAAACAGCAGTAGTTTGCCTTGGCCTCCCTTGACCCGGGGGAGGAGGATGACCAGAAATATTGCGCAAGCATCCTCTCCCCTTTGGAAGCGTTCATATCCTCGTTTCCTGCCCGGTTCCAGGGCCTCAACAGGCTCTGCGCAATTATCGCCGAAGTTGCTAAAAAAATATTTTACCGTTCAAGTAGCACACCACTCTGAAAATAAAATATCCCCTCCTGGTGCCCTGCACCGTCATGCGGGAGTGAACACACAGTCGACCTAAATGGTTGCGCGTGTCGTGGTGGAGGATTCGATATCAAACGGATCGAAGCACCCCGGCGTGTAGATGAACCTAATCGAAGTCTACTTGTCGATGTCTTCAGGCAACTTCGTGCCATAACACGTATGATGTGGTACACGCGAAATGAACCCGGTATTTTGAACACTCTTCTCGTTGCCTCTAGATGCTCGACAAAATTTCTGCAAACACGAGTTTTCTCCGCCATCGAAACAACGTCAGCTTTATAGAAGCCCAAGTGATCTTGCACAGTACAGATTGTTCGGAAACACGCGAATTTCTGTCTGGTCATTTGAGGACGCTCAAGCGTGAAAAGGGTTGCTGGGATGATGTATCTGACATGTCGGAGCACAGTGTGGCTACTTGTCCTTCTAGTGAAACGAGGAGATGGTGTCTAGGTGAACTATCGGTCATGTAACTACTAAATGAGCCATTGTAACGGAACGTCAGCGAGGGTCGGTTCCGCCAGCACTTAATTACCGCTTCCAACCCTGACGCGTCCACCTTCTGACGAGCTGCCCTTGTGCGCCGCCGCAGAGCGTTCTCTCGAGAGCGGATCCCTGCCCGGCTCGGCGTCTACGTGGGGCTGAGCTCGGTGAACGTGACGTACGCCGCCGTCGTCGAGAACGCCCGGAGCAACGAGACGCTGGACATCAACTTCAACGAGGAGTTCTGGTGGCCCAAACCCACGTCCCTGAGGAAGGAGTACTACGATGCACTCGTCAAAGGACTGCCTTTCCCCATCCTCACGGTCCTCGACTACCTCAGTCAGGTGGGTTGGTGGACTGAACAGCGTCGCTGAACGGAATCGGCAAACATTTCCAAATTTCTTATAGAATTCACGTGCTTTTTTTTTGCTTTTTTTCTTAAACTTAAAGATCCTGTTAGAATAGTTTGAGAAGTAGTCCGATGTTATTATATTATACTCCGTCATTACTCCGGTATGTTTATGACTTTAGATTATTTTAGAAACTTAATGACGTCAGAACTGTCTTAGACGCACTTTTTCTTCGTTCGGTAGTTTTGTGTGTATGTGTGTTTGTTTTGTTTCGTCTCTGTTGCGATGCACCCTCGGGAAGGCACGTGGCTGTTGGTGGGCATCAATAAATGAACATAAATATAAACACTTGCACAGTCATCTGGGCTTGGTTGCAGTTGATTAGAGCAGAGTTCTTCGCAGTAAACAACCAGCTGGTTATGACAGCTAAGATTTATATGCGTAACAAATACGGTAATTCTCTTGCATTTCGACTAAATTGGCACAGAATATTGATGCTCGGTGTTGACTTGCTTGCCGGTTCTTCGCTGTTTTTTTTTTTTCTTCTTGTTTCTCCGCACTAGTCCGTCAACCTTGCCGCAGGAGAAGAGTGTAATTCCAAAGCGCTCTAACTTGGCCACTCCCTCATGACTGATTGCGAGGCGGCGATACCTTCACCTGAAGGCCCGTTCACACACTTGCATCTGACTAGGTCCGACTTCGACACAGCAGGGCCTCTTGCGACGGCTGACGACCGGCTGCGCTGCTGCGGAGCCGGTCGTAAGCCTTCATGAAAGGCGTACCGTAAAACCCGGTTTTTAGCCTCTCCGGTCTTAAGAAGTCGCAAGTGTGTGGATGGGCCTTCAGGTTCTGCGTCATAGGCATCGCATAGAATCGACTGGGCTCTGAAACTGAAGCGAGTACCATATAGATAATTCGACTCAGCCGTGTGACGCAAACAGAGACACCCGAGACGTGTTTGGCAATTTCTGGTCATGTATATCGTGTGAAGGAAAGCAAAGCACCCCGTGAAAGCGTTCGGTGCTCCCAGTGGCGAGCGTCAGACGTCTTGCCGTTGCCTCTGAGCAGGACTCCGGAGGCTTCCTGTGGGGGCGCATGTACCGGGCCGCCGGCGGCTGGGCGCAGCTGTTCCTCTGGGCCTCGTTCGCAGCCTGGCTCCTGGCCAACGTGCTGCTGTGCGCCGTGCCGCGCTACGGGACCTACACCCTCCAGCTCACGGGGGCGCTCATGGTCGTGTCCACCATCATCTACAGCAGTCTGCTGCCAGACTTGCCCCTCGTCATACCGCTCGAGGGAGACTTCCTCCAGCTCTCCATGGGATGGAACTTCTGGCTCGTACTCATCATCGGTACGTGCGCCCGAAAACCGCCGTCTTTTTCTTTTTCTTTTTTTGTGTATTTTGTGTGTGTGTGTGTGTTTTATTTTTTGCTCATTCAATTTGCTGTTACTGATTCAAAGCACAAAGAGTAGTCGCCTTGCAGCCGTTTCTTGAGAAGGAGCCGCTAATCGTGAATAAAATTCGGGGAGTTACTTCTTTATTGCGCCATAAATGCGCCAATCTGAGTGTCGAAAGTTTCGCGACGTTAATTCGCGAGAGTGAGGAAACGAACTCCTGGCACGCAAACCGCCCGGCTTTAGCGCTCTTTGAGATCAAGAGCAATTACACGTAATACGGCTGGGAAACAATAGCTAGTTTGGAGGCATTACTTTCCTGCAACGGAGTCTGCTGTGTGGATAGGGTGGCCGATGCTGTAACAAAATCAACGGATGTATTCCAATGTTTTCATATACTTGTGCATTTCACCTTAGCGTGTTTGTCTGGAAATACTCGACGCAACGCGCTAGGAGCACTCGGAGCCACAGTGGTCACGAACTAGGACGGAGTTTAGTCGACGGAGGGACCGATGCTTGCACACACTCCTCTCGTGCAAGTCAATTTCCGTAAAGTTTCATGCTCACAATTCTTTTATAAAAAGGGGTTACGAAGCACGGTTTTCTGGAGGAGACGATAACATTGGAAGACAAATACACTAAGAGAGGAAGACATAACTTGGCAAGAAAGAGCGAACTATCGAGCTGCATGAAAATGTTTCTGATTGTTTTAAGCTAGGTCATTTGCTTTTTTTGTAAAAATAAATAGGTCCATGCTTAAAACAGTGATATTCTAAATCTGGAATGGTGACGGGTTCTTTTCAAGCAACGATTTTGAGTTTACCACTGAAAGTCCCACGAAAGAGAAGTTTGGGTATAGGCCCGAAAGTGCGAGTACGCTTACGATGTCTTACTTCTCTCGGCGACGCAGGCATTCTGGCCATCATCCTGGGCGGGGTGATGGCCTTGGTGGACATCCTGTACCCGAGCAAGTTCCCCACTGTACTCGAGGTGGACTACGACACGCCGTACCGCTACTTCGTGGCCCAGGGCAACACGAGCCGCAACACGAGTGCCGCCAACAGCACCGCCAACAGCCCCGTGCCGCTGCCCAAGTACCACAAGATGGGCTCTTCGGAGGAGTACAGGTACGCCGGGGTAAACCTATTCGCCAGGACGAGCATTGGTCCGCTTGCCTTCTTCCAAGTACGAGCGACTATTTTCCCGCAGACCACGCTGACGACCGATTCTTGCGAATTGCGGGAGCCAGAAAGGGTAGACAAAGACTTGAGCGAAAGTTTTAAGCTACCGTCACACAGCTCATACATCACACAAAAGACACGGGCTGCAGAAATTATGGGAGAATTACCTGCAGACGCGTCATTTTCGAAGCATGAAATTTGCTTCATACATGCTTCAAAATGTTTGCAGACAGTTCTTGTACGAACAATGTGACGTCATACAAGGAAGAAACTCGAAGGTCTGCAGACTGTCTCTTGTATCAGCAGTGGGACTACAGCTTTAGCCACCTACTTTTATAAGTGATTCGAGTATTTGGTAGGGTTACGACCTAGTAGCAAATCCTAGTTGCAGACCTTCGAACTCTAGCCCAAAGCTGTGTCAACGTCAAGTGACCAGAGCAAGGAAATCTCAAATAAGACGCGTCGCTTTTGTCCGTCATTACAATAGACATTTACTGCACTTGGCGTCAAATGCTTGAAGATGTGAATAGTGGAAGCTAAACATTTCGCTAGAAAAGCCAAGGCGCCCTCTCTGTTTTATCTGTGGGTATAATATCGTATAATTCTAAGTGCACGTATTGCATCTGCCATTTCGCTCGGAACGGACGTCGGGGGCATTTTGATTACAAGTATGCGAAATACTACACCATTTCGCACGTGCTGCAGTTCGTTTCTGAACGTTTTATGGCAGCTCTAAACGTGCGCCATTCTTTCGCTTCACGGTTGATAAGCCTCGATAAGCGAGAAGTTTAAGTCATTAAAGGACACATGCAAAGGAAAAAAAAATTTTTTTTAGTCAGCTTAGATGGAAAAAGGATGTCATAAAACGATTTTACAACGAAGAAACAAAATTTTTAGAGCTATATTTACGGCGCTATACGAATTTGTAGTTGGCGCTCGCGGGAGCCGCCGCTGGTCACGTGGTAGGCCCGCGCGCCGCCGCGCTGCGTCGCCGCCGCACGCTGAGCGTTGTGCGACCACGCCGCCGTCGCCGCCGCCACACAAGTTCGTCTGCTTCGGGGCGCCGCCGCCGTCGTCTGACCGGCGCACAGGTCTATCACGTCTGCTTGCGCTTTTTCAGGAGTTTCCTTTGGGCTCTAAAAGTTGCTTATTCGTCTTGGTTTTTTGTTATACTTCAAAACAAAGATGAATAAGTTACTTTTAGAGGCCATAGGAAGCTTCCGAAAGAGCGCAAGCACCACGTGATAAATAAAGACCAGTCACGTGATAAATACAGACCACTTTTCCGCGGTGCCTGCGGGCGCCAACTACGAATTCGTTTTGCGCCGTAAATATAGCTCTAAAAATTTTTTTTCTTCGTTGTAAAATCGTTTTATGGCGTCCTTTTTCCATCTAAGCCGTTTAAAAAAAGATGTTTTTTTCCTTTGCATGTGTCCTTTAAAAAAAAAACTGAGATTGGGACGAATAAAAAAAAACGGACCTCACGAGGCAGAATCTCGAGTAACGACTTGTCTCCCTCTCGATCCCAGCGGGCCCTCGTCGAGCGGCATGAACCCCCTAGGAGGAATTATACTGCCTGCCGACGACAGCGACTCCATCACCAACATGATCGAGGAGCCGGACGCTGGCATCGACAACGCGGCCTTCGAGTCCGAGCACGAGGACGGCTGCGTGATGGTGGACGGCAAGCGAGCCGTCACGCTCCAGGACTTCGGCAAGTTCGCCGACGCCAACCGCATTAGCAGCCCTTCGAGTTCCAACTCGGGCTCCGGGTCGATGGCGGCCAAGCGACGGGCCTTCGGCTCCAGCATCGGCTTTAACGTGAAGGACGTCACTATCGACATCCACGCCGAGTCCTCCAAGTGGTGACGGTCGATCCACGCCCGAATGCGTCCGGGGCGCCGGAGCAGCTGCAGCGGGACTTTGGGACGTGCAGCTTTGTGTCGTGCCATTTCCGCTTCGCGTTGTGGACTGCCTGCCAGAGCGCTCAGCCTCAGTGCTTCGGGACGAAGCCCAGTCAGAGCCAAGTTTTCCTCGCTTGACGCCAGCGACATGTTTCGACGATTTTGGTGTGAAGCCCGGTGTATCTTAAGTTATCTTCCCTCGGACAATGTGTTTGATTGCCATCCCTCGAGGCTTCTAGAAGAAGTCTGCTACGTTATCCAAATATCCTGAAGGATGTTGACGTGTCTTGTTTTGGCAACGTTATGTAAATATTTACGAAAAGCCTTTCTAAGAACTGCGCGGCTTCAGCATGCAAGCTCATCGAAGGAAACCATTTCCACATTGACACCAGCTGCTTTCTAGCCTATATAACCAAAAAGAAAAATGATTTCCATTGCCCATTTCAGCACCTTTGGCTTATGTATGCATAACTGACTAGCGTGCTTCAATATGGACTGAACATACATCTTCTTTCACTCTGATTCTGGACAGAAATACGGTTGGTTTACCCGAAGATAACTGCAAATACTCCTTCAGGCATGTCTTGTCAACATTTGTCAAACTTCAACATCCGTACCCCACCGGAGTGCTTCATCACTGACTCTGAACGAGTTCCTCCTGATTTCCCGTAGACGTGGTGATAACGGTACATTGATCACGGCGCCATTGAGATTTGAGCGGTAGTCTTGCATGGAGATGCCGTACACGTCATACTTTGTATATTGATAACGCGCTCCACGTTGTGAAACTTTGCAAGTGAGATCTCTATCTGGTCACTGAAAGCAGATCCCATTCTCGAATCAGAGAGCTTCACATCATGGCGCACGACGCGATACACTTTCAATATCAAGTTTCCGGGATTTCTCACTGGTGCCGCAGGTCGGGATTACGAGCAACATGGAGTAATGCTGGGTACCGTCTTCGGTCTCTTTTCGTTCAGGGCGCCAAGGACTGAGGCATGCCTGAAACATCGTGAAACAAAACCATGACTGTACTTGCATTTACTTCAAGACCTGAACTCGCAAAGGCAACAAGACCTAATTGTCCACCTCCATTGGCAGTTTTATACTGTAACAATTTGCGACATTAGCTCCTTTTATTTGCCAGTAGAAACGATCCGTTTTTTGTTTATTGTGTTTGCCCCACTTTGTCAAGCTTGCCATACTCATGAATCCTCATGAAGACGTTCGGCGTTTCCCCTGAAAGCGCTGGGATGATTAATGTATGTCCATATATTTATTAAATCATGGTAATCATTAGGATGTTGCCGCGCTTGTGCTTGCGTATGCCAATTTCTCCTACGATGCTAACTTTCAATGTGATCACTGGGGTTAGCCTCGTCAGCTCCCAAAAAGAGAAAATGAATCTGTGTGATAAGAAACTCTAGTCGTACCAGAACACAATGTTATTGAACAATTCTGTTGGTTGTGTACTGTGTTATGATGTCCCCTTCCATGTTGAATCAACTCACGCGCAAGCTTCGGAGAGTTTGCGTGGTATCCTTTTTGTGGGTGCGCAAATAAATGTACTTTACTACAATTCCATCCGATGGCTCTTTGATCCATGCTCGCGGTACCCACCATTCTGAACAAGTAAGGAAATCTCATTCTCCCACAAGCAAGTCAATGAGCGGCCAAAAATACTGCTAAAACGATTTTAAAAAAAAAAACTTTTTTCTATTTTTTTTTTTTTTTGCAGCGGGTGTTTTTTGTGGCGGACGCTATACTCTATTCCCCCTTAAAGGGGCGATGCCACAGTTTTTGTACTTTGCCAAAATGCCGCTCAGAACAGACCCCTGACGTTAATGACCTATGAATCACGCGTTCGGTTTTCACCCCACGCAATAGAAGTCGCAGCACAAATTAAAGGAAAACGACCCGCGTTCACCGCCTCAACTCACATTCAGAACAAGCGGTCACGTGATCTGTATCCGGTTATATGCCGCCAATGTTGATCATAGCCACGCGCTGGGGCTGGCAAGGCACAGGACACGCGCTGAGTTCCAAACGTTGTTATGGTTCGGCTATTGTCGTCATTGAAGCGGCTGGACACGATCCACAACCCGAATGCTTCTTGAGCTCCAGGCTTCCTTTTCTTTCAACACTTCTCTCTCTCTGAGCTATCGATTATCACGAGCCCAAATCGAGTGCGCACGCAATGCTCGGGTCCAGTTTATGAGCCGCATTCAAATGTCGTCACTGGGGGCTACTGCGATCTCCCAGTTACGTCATCAAGTTTCGCCAAGGAGAGAATAAATGAAAATGCTCGCTTTTGTCCTTGACATTACACCGCAACAAAGGAGCATTTTGGCCAGTGGCGTTGCGTGCGAGCGTTCTTGAGTCCCACTAGTGCCAGTAAGCTCACGTAAAGTGAGAAAAAAAAACATTCCAGTTGAATATCGTTGCACCGCCCCGCTGAACCAAACATCGCAGTGTCCATATTAAGTTGCGCACGATGTTTCCACGAGCCAGCACCCGCTGGTGTGCGCGAGCACACGGAACGAAATTGAAGTTCGGATACCTACGGTATCCGAACAAAAGGAGAATAAACACAGGCTTGTCATCCCCCGAGTAATAGATAGGTGCTTGTTAGACCAACTACCTTTTACACCAGACCCCACTGAGATGAAAAGCCCGTCTTTACTCTCCTTTTGTCTGGCTGAACCCGGACACTTCCCCCGGTTCAGACAGACTTGAAACCAGCTGAAAGATAACCGTCCCTGCGAACGACTCACATAACAACATTGGACCCACATCACCCGTAACATCATAACGCCACTCTGGGCCAAAGCCTCTCTGTCATCACGTCAGCACCTCTCTGTCATCTGTACACAATCTCATCCCACGGTCATTAGATGCGGCGCCGCAGGCCTTCATCGTATGGGCCACTTACCTTTGTGCGACGCCGCTCCTGAATCAAACTAAATATTATTATTATTATTATTATTATTGTTATTATTATTATTGCCGGAGCCGACACACTTCACTGTCATCTTAAGCGTGAACGGGGGACTATGACGTCAATTTCGTTCCATGTGCTGGCGCACACCGGCGGCTGCTGGCTCGGGGAAAGATCGTACGCAGCTTATTGTAGACACTCAAATGTTTCGTTCAGCATCCCTTTAAAGGGGCGATGCAACACTTTTTGCACTTTGCGGAAATACCGCTTAAAACGGATCCCTGACGTTAATGACCTACGAAACACGCGTTTGTTTTTCACCCCTCGCAATAGAAGTTCCAGAAAAAAAAATTAAAGAAAAACGAGCACCATTCACTCCCTCAACTCGCAGCCAGAACAAGCGGCCACGTGATCTAGAGCCGATTATATGCCGCCAATGTTGATCATAGCCATGCGCTGGGGTTGGCAAGGCACAGGACACGCGCTGAGGTCCAGACACTGTTACGGCTCGGCTATTGTCGTCGTTGCAGCGATTGGACACGGGCCACTACCCGAATGCATGTCGAGGCATCGATTGTCACGAGCCCAGATCGAATGCGCAGTCTTCGCGTCCACTGTGTCAGCAGCATTTGAATATCGTCACCGCAAAGCTCGATAACGCCTTCCCGGTGATCGTGCTGTTGCCATTGTCCCCACAGCTCCGCCATCCAATTTCGCGAAGGAGAGACTGAAAGAAAAGCTCCGCTTTCATCCTTTGAATTCCGCCGCGACGAAGACGCTTCTTGGTCAGTGGTGTTGCGTTCGAGTATTCTTGGGTCCTACTAGTGCCAGGAAGCTGGTGTAAAGTAAGGAATGTTCCTACCCAATGTCGGTTGCACAGCGCCTCTAAGCTGAGACTGCAGCCAAAGCTACGAGCGCTGGCTGTACACTGCGCTTTTCCTGGCTATCCGGGCCTTGAAAGGTGTATTTTTCGCGTGAGCGCTCGTTCTGCGGAAGTGCGCTTCAAAGCAGCGACCTCGAGTCTCAGCTTAAAGAGACACTGAAATGAGAAAAAACAAAAATACTTCCTTTGTAATGGCTTATTTGGGACACGTATATTCCTCTAGAAGGGCGGTGCAACGATATTCCATTGGAATGTTTTTCATCTTACACGAGCTTACTGGCACTAGTGGGACTCAAGGATACTCGCACGCAACGCCACTGGCCAAGAAACTACCTTGTTGCACGTTAAGTCCAAGGGGAAAAACGAGTGTTTTCTTTCACGCTCTCCTTCGCAAAACTTGATCCATGTGGCGAGTTCGAATACCGACCGATGTGCTCGCAATACGACGGAGGCATATTGCGGAAAAGGCGCCATGTAACCGAGCTTTCAGTCCCACGTCGGAAAGTTCCCAGGTGGTCGAAATGAATCCCCAGTCCTCCGCTGGGGGGTGCCTGATGCCCTTCGTTGGTTTGGCACGTAAAACCCCCGAATTTGTTTGTTGTTGCAAAACTTGATGACGTGGCGTGGGGGTCGCAGTGTCGGCATAGTACCCCCAGTGACGGTATTTTAACGCGGCTCATAGATTGTACTCGAGCATTGCGTGATTGTGGCTCGTGATAATCTATAGCTCGAGAAGCATTCGGGGAGTGGTTCGTGTCCAATCGCTGCAATGACAACGTCTGGAAGCCAGCGCGAGTCCTGTGCTTTGCCAACCTTAGCTGTAGCTATGATCAACATTGGTGGCATATAATCGGCTCCAGATCACGTGATCGCTTGTTCTGAAAACGAGTTCAAGCTGTAAACGATGGTCGTTTTTTTTTTTAATTTTTGTTGCGACTTTTATTGCCAGTGGTGAAAAACGAACGCGTCCTTTATAGATCATGAACGTCAGGGATTCTTTCTAAGCGGGATTTGCGCTAAGTACAAAACTCGTTGCATGGCCCCCTTACCTTTTTTACACTAAAAGAAAATTTGTGTTGTGCAATACTCACGCCATTAGACGGAATTTAGTTGGAGGCAGAGCCGTGCATAGAGAGAGTGTGGTCAATAGGAGGAGCGGACAGAGCCAGGGCGTGCACCAGATGAAGATGGAAGGCTTGACGTGCTCTCAAGCCAACCAGAAGCTGAAAAGAATCTTCTTGTGGAGGTAACAGGGAAACGTTTTAGAACGGCGTAGCTCTTCATAGTTGGAAATATGGTGCACGTAATGTTTCGAATATGATCACGCAAAAAGCTGCAAGAAACGAATGTGCCGCTCGGACCCTGTTTTAATTGGACGGAGTCTGACCGCTCGGTCGGCAAATTCCCGGACCTCGGCGCCTGGCACACGGGCTACGTTGATCCTTCTGCTTGTTGCGCACACTTTTTATAAGTTTATATATTGCCACGCGCGTCGCCGAGCAAGCGCGCTCTTGGCCGAATGGTTACTGCGCTTGCCTGTCGCGCGGAGGTGCCAGGTTCGATTACAGGGAGAGGAATGCTTCTTTTATTTATTCTATTACCTTTTGCGTTCTCGTAAGTTCGAGGACGCTGTCGTCTTATTGAGTTACGAATGTGCAACACGCCGAAGGCTCTACGCCGAATATTCCAGAAACCTACGCGGGCACAAAAGGTGCTCCGCGTGGCGAGCCGGAGTGAGTCTCGCCTCAGCGCTTGATCCTGCTGTTACGCCGACTTCGACGCCCGCGACCCGCTCTGTTCTTATCTTCTATTTCCTTTTTTTGTTTTGGGCACAAGTTCGCCACATTAAACGTATATTTCTTCCTGTTTATTTATTGTTCCTTTGGTCACCACCCATGACAATCTCTTCCGCGATAATTTTGCCTAACCGTGATCAAACATCACGTATTTTCAGTCACCGAGAGTTACTCTGCCGCACTTATTAATTTTGTTTCTCGCGACCACCGCCAGGGTATTATTCGCGGCTTCTGGTTTTTCGCATTCGAATTTGTGAGGACGCCCTGGAACACGCCCAGTCGTCCTTAAGCCAATGGAGCCTCCTCATTTTCCTCCTATACTTGCCAATGAACGGCCAAACTCTCTCGATATCCGGCCCTGAGTGGAGGTAGCCCGCCCTGGAGTTCCTGTGTTGGGGAGGAGATCGAGCAGTGGCGCTCCCCAGCAGCCAGCTCAGGAACTAACGCTGCGTGGCAAACGAACCCTTCGACCGCTGCCATAGAACACGACAGGCACGTAGCCAGCATTTTGTTTCGGGGGGGGGGGGGGGGGGGGGGGCGCACATGACGAAATGCTGTATGAGGGGGAGGGGGGAGAGGAGGTCCCAGCAAAATCGAAGATTTCGGGGGGAGAGGGGGGGGGGGGGTGCCGGGCCCCATGGGCCGGCCCCCTGGCTACATGCCTGGAAGACGACACGGCAAGGTTCGTGAAGAATATGTATGTAACACTATTCTTTTCTCCATAATGCATCTTGGTACAAGTGATCTAGTCCCCTCTTGCATTCAATGTCGTCAAATTTCTTTTGGAAGGCAAATGAAGCTCATGTGTGGTAGTGGAGGATTCAGAAGGGGTGCGGATCTCCAGCCCTCTTGAGTTCTGCCTGCGTAAAACTTTAGGCCGGGGAAACGGGGGAGAAAAAGATGCTAAAAGCCTACAATAACCACTGAAAGGCATTCCAGTTCGTAAACAAAAAATTCGTTCATAACT